CGAGATGCAGCACCAAGGGCCAATGATAATGTTTTAAACTTAAATACATAGGTATCTATAATTGACCAATTACACAAAGAAGCCCGAAAAATCAAAAAACCCGCCAGCCATAGTTTACCTCAAGTCTGGTAAGTTATTGACAAATGTAATAGTTTAAGCCACAAAGACATATTGAATGATGCATTCCAGAATATGAGAGTCCAGAAGAAAGCGTGCCAGGACCTATATGACAGGCTAAACCATGGCCTGGCTGAGCTTTTAACTACCCTCCCCTTGTTTTTGACAGCTCTGATGATAGTTTACAGGAACATAATATGCTATTGGAATCAAGAAGTTTAACCTTGGACTGAGACTTATTCTAAGTCAATTAGCTAACTTACTGGTTAAATGTCACATATTTTCCCAACCGACATTTGTCTGACCCGTGAGCAGCAAAGAGAATTTCCAGTTTGAGCTGAAGACCGGCACAAAATTTTGTTCGTTATTTTTAATACATCTAGCTTTAAGTATATAGCATCTGACTCCTAACAGTGTCAAAAGAAAAACAACAACAACACTGTTTCTGGATATACTGTCCATTATATATACGTGTGGGGGTGGGTGTGTATTCAGAAACACAGTCATCCACACACACATATATGTATACATAGAAAGGAAATTAAACTGAGAAATTGACATGTACTATTCTCCCCCGCCTCATTAATGATAATCAAAAAATACGCTTTTGACTTTATAACACCATGCTACTTGCAAATTAAATGAATATTATCCTAGGAGCTTGACCGAATGAGGACATTTGAGGTGAAGAATGAATGAGCTCTATTTAAGAAATCTGTATTATGGTCCAGACCTAAATCCAAACCATGTTTACATGGGTTTTGACTATTACCGAATCTTTTTAAGAGCGTACTTAATTCAGGATGACAAAGACAGAAACAATGCACGTGAGCAACAGGACAAAACATTCTTAACATGCTCCTGCCAATATGGACTTTGTTGGACTTTACCTCATTTAAGCCGTGAGGAGGATCAATCTACAAGAACATCCACACTGTGTTACTGAAATTCTTAGAAAGCCCCTGCCCACACTTACATATTAAATTAGAAAACAGATTTCCAGATCACACTTAATTCAAAATGAAAGAGAAACTTTTTTTAAAACAGTCTAAGCAACATACCTCCCTGAAATGTGTGACAAATGTAATCCCCGAAAGAAACCTCTTTCCACATTCCGGGCCTTCTGACACTTCCTGAAACTTCAAGATTCTCTTCATTTCCCCCAGTGAACTGAAGCATTCTGAGGCTTTGCCTTTGGAGGTCTTATTTTTGGGGGTGATGAGACTACCGTCATTTAGTGTCTTCAAACTTAATCTACTGTATTGGAATCACATTGCACAGGTCTATTTTGAAAGAGAATCCCAGGTGCAAATTGACATGGATACTAGATCAGGAATGACATCATCCTGGAACCCCTATGAACACTAAGAATACAGAGGGAAATGGTGAACTCTGTTTACAAATAAATACTCCTCTATCAAGTGACCATCCCAGCAGTGACAAGTGTATCTGATTCATTTACTTTTGTGGCAATTCACTCCAATTAAGGTGAATCATTTCTTCAGAGAACTGGAGACTAAACCCTACAGAGCATGAGATTTTAAAATGTTTTTCCCAAATGCTGGCATTTCATATTAGAAAAACCTTTGTTGGCAGGGCTTTGCACAGCGCCGTGTATAAATGGGTTTAGTGCAGGGTTTCTCCTGACAGTGATGAGTAGCTAATGGATTCGAATTGCAAATGACAACACAAAAATATATATAGCATGCCACATTTGCTGCTTTAAATCAGATTTACTGGTCATTCTATTTCCTGAGGAAACTTAGTCTTGTTAGAATGCATTGTTAAAGTTTGCTTAAAAATATTAAAGAAAATTATTCCATATAAGTCATTCTTTAGGTTAGTAGAAATGAGGTTTCTGCAAATACTCTTAGAAAGCCACTACCCTATTTACTTCTTAAATAAGAGCCACTAACAGAACTACAAACTTGCAAAAAATAAAGCTGAAAATCCTTCAAATTGGTGCAGTCAAAATCATTTGCTACTTTAAATAATAATTTTTAAAACTACCCACACAAAGCCAAAGTATAAATAAAATCTGCCCTCTAGAAATATTATTCATATGAACTATCTAGGAGGGTTTTTTTTTTTTTTTTAAGTTTTAGGAGCAAATCCGTGTATTTTTACCTGGAATTCCACCATAGATCTCTTCTGCTATCCTAGCCGCTTCTTTTCTATTTCCTTTGACGATATAGAAGTGAGTTAGGAGAGCCAAACAAATTTTAATTAAAAGTTTGAAGAAAAAAAAAGTAGCAAACATTGTAATAAAAATGTTTTTAAAGCCATAGGAAACAGGACTGTCTTCCATTTTGGCTTACACTCTGTATAGGTTCCTGGTACTGCAAAATCTCACTGAGTTATAACTGGTATCATATGACATCTATTTTCAACTTTCTAGCCCTTGGTGCTCCTGTTACTGAGAACTCGCTCGTACATTCTAAGCTAACTGTGATTTGGCGGCTGCGTGTGCAGTCTCTCATAGCAATGTGGAATGAACTCCAGAAACTTCCTTTTAGACCTGCATTCCTTAGTGCTATTTAACACACAGGATTCCTGGCCGGATCTTTTTTATTCCTAAATCCCAATTTGTGCTACATTATGTGGGAAGGCAGTTATTGGAGAGAGAAAACAAACTTCTCAGATCCCATGGGGACGGAGCAAGTTATCTGAAGTGGGAAGAACTGACGCCAGACCATTTCATTTTCTCTTCCTCCTGAGGTTTTTGGGGAGATAATGCTCCAATCTAAAATATGACCATCTGAACAAGACCATTTACTCTAAGGCAGTATTTAGTAAAGGGCCCCTCTTGGATGCCTCTCCAAGTGGATGTGTCCGATTGAAAGCATTAGACCACTTGCTCTCATGGTCTCATCCGTGACAAGGTCTGCCGGCAAAGCCCATCATGCGTTTCCCATTTCAAGTGTCAGTAAAGGTGGTGCCTCGGACTGGAATATGGGCGCTCTCCTTGACTGTGGAAGAGTTACAGCAAAATGGATAAAGAAGATGCCCTCCATTCTGGGTGAATTACCCAAAGATTCTATGTATCAATACCTTCCCTCGTTGGACAGTTCTCTTCCAGCCCTAACTCTTCAACGTGTGTCGGCGGGCCAATACAAGGGAAATCAACTTCTTGTTCATTTCCCTCACCTACAAAAATTAGATGAGGAAAATCCAGGTCTCCTCTTTCATTCTTGGCTATATTAGATTTTCAAAAATCTCTACAAACTATTGAAAAAGGCAAGCCAAAAAAAAAAAAAAAAAAAAAAAAACATTGCAAGAGCAGACTAAAGAAATCTTACTTACTAAATGCTTTATGCAAAAAATATGGGAGTTTCTCATAGCACTCAGGCAAATTAGAATGACGACCTCTATGAGAACTGGCTCCCTATAGTCTGGGGAAAGGCTGATGTGTGAGCAGACAGCCTTGTGTCACAGTATAAGCTGCGTCCATTTCACTGAATTACAGAACCAGGGAAGATCCGGTGCAGTTCCCAAGCCCAAGAACTGAGATCAACATACAGGGTTTCTGGACCCAGCTTAGTCCCGACCTACAGCTTCCTACCTAGAGAGTGCCAACATAGGAGAATCCGCGAACACAAGCATCTGGGAACACAAGAACACTGCCCTCTAAGAAGCCCGTCCTTTACTCAAGTCAGCCCAGTGACATTATAGGATGTTATTCAATCTTGTTCGGGCCTTAATCTTCATTTAAAACATGACTGTACTTTCTGTGTTATACACCAGAAAAGTTGGCCATCAGGAGCTCGGCTTTTTTGTAAGGTTCAAATGGATGTCTATGCTATTTCTGAGAGACCATCTTTAACTACGTTTGAGCATTACATTTGAGATGGGCACAAAAGGCCACTGAAGTAAGGGGTTAATTCACAGCATCCTTCACAGACGAAATCCTCTGTGGCACCACAGTTTCTCAGCCTCAGCACTACTGATATTTGGGGCCAGATAATTCTTTGTTGGGGGCACGCGGTTATCCAAAAGCATTGTAGGCTATCCAGGAGCACCTCTGCCCTCTGTCCACTCAATGCCAACACCCCCACTCCCATCCAGGGCTAACAACCAGATACGTCTCCAGACACTGCCACGTGTCCCCTATGGGTCAAAATCGCCAGCCCCCCTCCTCCCCTACCTTCTACCACATCCACTTAAGAACCACTGAGCCATAGCCAAATATAAAGAACAAAGGAAAATCAACTCCCCAAAATACTAGTGAATACAAATTAAATTTTGTACAGAACTTGAATTTTTAGAATTTCATATTTAAAAAAGCCCAGCCACGGGATGATACAATTTAACATCTCGCCATATTCTTTCAGGAACACGGAGAAGAGGCCTTTAAAAATCCTGTGCAAAAGTAAACACAGACCTGTGATACCCTGACTTTGCCAAAAATGAGTTTTGGCGTAAGATAAATCAGAACATACCAACGTAGAGGACTGCTTTCCACTGCTTCCAACAAAAGGGGTGGGAGAAGCTGGGCTTCTGTAAATGAAATCAAAATTCAAATTCCTTTTAAAATAGCTTACAAGATAGAAAGTGTAATTATGTAGTTTGCACACACAATAGCTTCTAGATGTATTCACTTGTCTCATGCGACAACTCCAGCGCAGGGAAAAACAGGGCTTGTGTGGATCAGGACACAGAGGCACAATTCAACTTGCTACTCCACGAGTAGAGACAACGTACTCTAGAAAGAAAAGATGACAGAGTAATTCATCATCTGAAGGACAGTTCCTATTTTACTAACAGACCAAGCAACACATCTAATGGCAGTGAAAGAGCAAGCAGACGAGGGAGGGGGTGGGAGTGGGGCACAGTTAAACGAGTAAAATCATATTCTCTTCATCAAAGAAGACAAACTCAGAAAATTGTCAAAATGTCATTTTGGTCTTTATTTTTGGACATGTAGTGTGTTTTCATAAACCAGTTTCATATGTGCTAGTTTTTGTAATATCAAAAGAAATACAATACATTTTTCATAAATTCCTCATCACTGCAAGTTCACTTTCAAATAAATGTAAGTAGCGGGGTCGAACAATATGGTTCCACATGTTGACCAGTGCAACACTGACAGTTACAATTAAGGTATCCAGGAAGCCTGAAAATTAAGATTTACTAGAACAAGCAAATTTACTTCCCTTTGTTAAAAACAAAGGACATAATTTTGATTTATAAATTACATATTTTACATGCAAGTTGACATCCCATTTCCATCTGAAATGAATGGCCATCTCAAAAATACGCTGAGAAACAAAAATGTAAGAACAAATAGTAGTATGCCCTTAAAAACTGCTGAAGCAAATAAATAAAAACACAGGTTAGTTTCTTGCTTTAGCGTGCATATTGGCACTGTTTATTTCATATTTACATAAATCAGTTTCTGTGCATTAAAAATCCCAATAAGATTTAATGGTTCGGGTCAGTCCATTTTTCTTTAACAAAAGATCCCTTAACTTCCAGGTTTTAAGAATCGCACTCGCGCATTTGTGTTTTGGCACAAAACACAAATCGTTATTTCTTACAGATCAGTGGCAACCGGTTAACAGGCATGTTAAGATACTTTTTAAAAAAGAAGTTTTATGAGCGTTGTCGTTAAAAACAAAAGGAAACCAATCCTGTACAGAACCCCAATACTGCCAGCAGCTTCCTAGTGCACCACAAGCACCTCTTTCTTTGGATTTCACAGTCCTTTATCACAAAAACGTACTCTAAGGAGTTCAAGGAGTTAATAAGACACACCATGTGGATAATCTGGGGTTTAAAAACCCATGGCTCTGGGCAACAACGATTACAGTTAACAACAGACAACCACAAAGAGACTGTGTTCCTACAATTTTCAGACTCAATTAGCTATAAATAGAACATACTGGGGTGAAGACTCCTGCACACTGACAAGACTTCTCAGACAACAGCTAGGCCACAAGTGAAGGGAAGTGACTTCTATCAAAGGTAGTGGAGGGGAGCAGCTGAGTTGGAGATGGCACAGCTCGTACGTTCTGCTCGGAAAACACGAAGGCATTTACAGAGGACTCAGTGATGCCGGGGAAGGCGCGGAGGGTTTCTCTGCACTGTCGCCAACAGTGGTATTCGTCCCTAGCATTCCAGAAGCAAGAAGCTTTTTCACACACACAAATTAAGACAAAGGCTCTACCTAGGAGAACACATACGACAAGATCGAAGAAGTAATCGGAGTCTGCCGACCATTTTTCCTGGCATTGAAAGCCTGAGCATTTTTGGCATGTTAGATAGTTTACCATTCCGTCAACTGTGACTACAAAGAAGTGAGCCATCTGAGCGATAAACAAAGAGCATCTGAATGTGCCCCTGGTCCTCAACAGCACGAAGTGTCTACTTCAATGTTCTACACACAGTAGGAGATGCTTAAAACATGCCAATAACTGATGGACCATCTTGCTCAAGAAACCTGCTGACGATCTGTAACACTGAGCGTACCAAATAAACGTCTTAAGAACATGACCTCAATGACTAAAATGTGTCTGAACAGGACTCAAAAAGAGTTCATATCGTTGTTGTACTTCCCGAAAGAAAACCTGTAAACATCTGGTGAATGTCTAATTGATGGTAGAACATTTAAAATTGGCCCAAAAATGCCCAGAAAACATTTGGCCCTTCAGCACCCAAAGCTCCCAAAATATAATTTTAAAACATCTCTGTTAGAGGGATTTCAGTAGTCTGAAAAATTTCATACCTGAGTGGCTTCAATGTTCTCTCCTAAGTCTTAAGTAAGTGCAAGGAGTTTCTACACTCAGGAATTGCATAAGTTTTTATCTTTCCTCAAAATAAAACATTGAATGATATAGAGGTAGCATAACTTACTAAATTAACTTTAAAAAAAAAGAAAAAAGCAAGGTTATTTTCCATCGTCTTACTAGAACTATTACAAATGTGTAAAACCTTACAATCCAGGCTTTCTTCTACCTGGGTTTAGACATCTCATTATTCTCGCCCCCTTTTTTACTGTAAGGATATTGATGAGTCCAGGCGCCCTTGGGCCCTGTGGCATCTATTGCGACATCGATGATAGAATCTGGAGTCATCCATCTCAGGAAAAGGAGGAATAGAAAGTTGAATACAGCCAACAAAGCAAAAATGCAGCCTGTTACTGGGCCACAGTGAGAGATGAGTCTGTCCAGTCGTTTGTCCATTGGTAACACAGCTTCTCCTGCCACGCGGTCGTACACCTGGCGGGAGAGAGGCCGAGAGTGAGCACTCTGACCCACAAGAAACAACGACCTGCACGGACCAGGGATGCTTTACAGATGCAAACAGGAGGCGCTTACATTTCGTTGCTGTTGTTTTAGTAAGGACGTGATTAATGAAATTAAAGTAATTATTGCCATGTGATTCAACACGTATGGAGTGCTGATCCTGGACAGAACACTGGGCTAGACACCGCATCACACAGAGACGAATATGCCAGGCTCCTGTCCCCTAGGGGATCACCATCAATTTTAACCAACTACGAGAATTCCAAAGTCCTGAGAAGTTGGAACCGCTTTTCGGGTCACCTCTGTCGAGGCCATAGTTAATTCAGCAGTGACTTCCTGAAGCAGGACTGGCCTTCTAAGATTCCTTGATTCGGCTGAGCAGCTCTCACGGCTAGCTGGCAGACATCAACCACCATCAGAGAGCTCTAATCTAGTGCGCTGCTGAGTACTGAGAGGCTCTTCTTTCCACAGCCACGGGAGGCCGTGTTGCTGAGCACGGATGGTGAGACTATACAGAACCATTTCGTGGACTCCAAATAAAAGGAAGGGGAAAAAGATGGGGGAAATTTTAGTAGATGGCATAGGTCAAACACTTTTGGCAAACAAAACAACGTTTACCACTGAGAACCGGTAGTAGGTGGCTTGCTGTTTGGAAGCGCTGCTAAGCACAAAATTCAGAAATATTTTAAAAACAAAGATCCGTAAACACACTTAGTTCCAACACATAAACGAGGCCAGCATTTATCTGTTTCGATTGCATTCGAGCATGACTTGTGGTCACTGTCACACAGTGGACCTGTGAGCCATCTCCTTTGGAACTCAGGAAGGCTGGGACGTGCAGGGCGAGCTCTACAGGCCAGCAGCCTCTGGAAAGGTACGGCTGTTTCCAGCTAGCTCTTCTACCCTCAAAACATCTGGGATACATTTCAGTCCGAATTATGCTGAGACTGGTGAATTAGAACAGTTGACAAAGTATGTTTCCAGCGTGAACTCCAATTTAATTTCTTCATCAATTTTCTAAATAAGCACAGTTAAACTACGGAGGAGGAGTTGAAAAGGATCGAAACAGCCTGTGCAGAACAGGTAGAATTAAGAGAGCAACTACAAATTCTCTATCGCCGCTTTTTATTTGTGGTATTTCCAATATCTGTCACGTGCATTCTGAATCCTAACTTACTATGTTCTCAGTCAGCCCAGAGATGCAAAAATCCTCTTCCCATAGATAATCAAGGTACTTAGCCAAGGTGATGCAAGAGTTTTGGGAAGGAGCCTGAATTAAACGTTTGCAAGTGTTAAAGTTGCCGCCATTGGACTAAGCAAAACCATGTATTTTCTAATAGACCGACATGCTTTTTAGAATCAGAAACAGCCTCAAGAAAACGTCTAAGAGTAGATTTTAGTTATCAGTTTGGCCTTTAAGGTTGTGACTTCTAGAAAATTTGGTAACTTCCTCTATGGCCACTTTAATGAAAGGTCTAGATGGCATTACTGCTATTTTCAGATGTCAAATGCAACGAGTTGACTAGAAACTCAGCCTAGCATACACCAAAAGTAGTACACAGTGCATTTCTTTTCATCTGAAGAGACTTCATATACTTAAGCAACAGAAAGGGTAAACCTATACAAGAAAAAGCAAACGTGTACGTGAAACGCCAAGAATTTAGACACAATCTTCAAATACCCTTTGCTTAGCACATGACATACTTTTTCAGTTCTTTCCGCAACATTCCTCCAGGTGTAGAAAGTCTTTACTACGTTATGGATATTTTCGGGAGCCGGCAATGCTCCTGACTTCAGCTGGGAAATCGCTTTTTCCAAACCCTCGCACAAGGACTTGACGGAAGGCTCACACAGAATGATAAGATTTTCTGGAAGTACTTCAGGAATTCCACCAACCCTGGTACTTACAACCTTAAAAAGAGAAAAAGAATATACAATACACCATAGTTCATATCTCAGGAAAATCAGCAAAACTAACTTAAATTAAAAGTCACTACAGAATGCATCTGCTTATTTTTCAGAATAACAAGTACAGGAACCCCAACATGTAAGCCCTCAAAGCTTTTTACCTGTAAACCACAACTGGCTGCTTCCACAATCGCCATGCAGAATGCTTCGGTAAGGGAAGTATTGAGAAAAATATGTCCTTGAACTAAGACATTTCTAACATCCTTGTGTTCTAAGGCTCCCAAGAGACGCACTCTGATTTTTGAAATGAAAGAAGAAGGGAGTGAAAATCATGCTAGAAAATAAATATCATTTAGAAGCCAAGTGTGCTATTCACATTATACTTAGATCACTGCTGGTTCTGATGTTTTCTACCGCAAAAGATTAATATCCCCAAATTCTGATCTAAAAGAGTCCTTTAAAGCTATTTGGTTAAAACTCATGCAGCTAACATATTTCTAACTTTTGTCACGCCTACAAATTTCATCTTCTCCAAAATTAGTTGGCATTTAGTGAAGATATTAATATACTTTGGTGAGTAATTATTAAAGAGTCATTTCTAAACAGAAAAAGGCCCCTTTTAAATTGACGCTTCACAGCAAATACCTTTCTAAGTTACTGAGAAAGAGAAGTATTTGAATCTGTGTGTGCAGGACAACTTACATGATTTGGGCCATGCTATACAAATCACAACTCAGCAAGGCTTGAAAATCTACAAACATTTCCAAAGTGGTTGTTTTGTGTGTGAGTGTGTGCGCGTGCACGTGCCTTCCAGGGTACTTCCAACCATTGCCCCTAAAAGTCAAATAATATTGGACTAACAAAAAAAATTAAATTGTGATTTGTTAAAATTAAGATTTCCCATTTTACACACTTTTTTAAAATAGGTCTCGTGTTACATTTTTTCATCAAGTGCATGTAGGAGAAGCTGCCCACTTAACAGACACATGTAACCAAAACTGAATTTAGGTAATATATTTTCTCACCCAAGACAATACAGAATCCATCAATACCTGTCATGGAGCTGGTACCTTTCTCGTACTTCTTCCAAAATGATTCTCTTAGGTCCCTCTCCTCCAATTATGAAATTTAAATCTGGGTATTTCTGACAGAGTTCAGGTATTATACCACTAAGCAAATCAGTCCCTGAAAATATAAAATAAAGTTGAATGTTGGAAATTGTTAACATTTAAACTTAAAAAAAAAAAACAACTCATCAGAACTGAGAAACCACTCACTTTGAAAAGTATTAGCTATGCCCTCCTTAAGTAGAGAAACTAACTCTCAAACCTTTCCTGGGAAGGTGGAGTGTCCAAACTACCAGTGGTATCCTAAGAGTTGCAATTCTTAAAGATACATACACTGACATCCATTGTTACCCAATACCCAGACTATTCTGTTTCATTCTGACGTAATATTCTTTAAGTTATTCACTTGTGTTTACACATCACCTACTTCTAAAAAAGGTATTTGACGTAGCTAGCATTTAAGTTTTCTACAGAGCCTGACAGCTGACTGGAGATCTAGGTCTTGTCCCAGCCATTTTATGAGCAAGTTCTTTGATTGTGGGAAAGTTTTCTGATATAGAAAATGAAGAGACCAAATGTATCTGAAGTCCAAGGTCTCTTTCAGCTACAAAATTTCTACATGTGTTCCACTTCCCACCACAGGAAGGGGCTAAGCAACAAAGTGTAACTGCAGCCTCCACTTTGTTGAGAAGGCAGTTTGTACAGAGGATCTTGTAAAGAACGAACGCCATAGTAGTAGTCAAAAAAAAATTTTTTTTTTAGTATCAGTCAAATTTAAGAGCAGTCTGTCCAAACCTGCCGTACATAGCCCACTTCCCTTGAAGGAGAGTAAATGAAGGTGGCAGGACCTCAACTGCCAGATCATTATAGTCCAGAGAACAGAAGGGTGCATCTTGGTTCCTTTCTTTAATGAAATACTTTTCTTATAATACGTAAACACAACCTCAGGTTAGAAAGCAGTAACATAAACCATGCCCTACCAGTCTGAAAGTGGCTATCTAAAGTGACAGCAATGTTGACACTATTTGGGAATTTAGTTCAGTAACAACTATCAATTGGACACATTCAAAAGTAAAAGTAAATGTAAAATAACCCAGTTAAAGTTTATTAAGAAATGCATACATACACAAGCACATACATAAGAATTGCACTTTTTCTATCAATCTTCCCAAGTACAGGCAGATGAATTATAAAAAAAGATGGTGGGAGAAATCATTTATGCGGGGTCATTTTTATTAAATAATTCAAAGTAAGGATTTAAGTAAACTCGGCCAGTATTTTCAAAATATGATTGCATTAGCAAACATAAATTCACATGCAGCTTTTCTGAATTGTGAAGGTTTCTCATTAAAATCTTAGCTATCTTTGTTTCGAGACAATTACAAAATCCATCAACTGGATTTCTACATAAACCAGAAGGTGGCTTAATGACTTTTAACATTTAGCTTCCTTTAATTCTTTCATTTTCTTTCTTTCCTTTCCTTCTCCCTTCTAATACAGAGGTTGAGAACCCATTCTTCAAATGAAAAATGCAACACATATAGAGTAATAATCATAACTGCTGATAACAACTAACATTTACTGAGTGGTTACTACATCGGGCTATGTCCCTTAAGTGCATTATGTCATTTAATCCTGACAACTACCTTATAAGAAACAGAAGTGATTAATATTATCAATGATCTATAACATTATTCTAAGAATAAAAGGTTTTCCCAAACAATAAAAGATACTCTCCTGCCTCTAAGAGGAGTCTAACACAATGGAACATACAAAAGGGCTTTCAATTGCCATAGTCACACAAAATAATGGACAAAGGAAAATCATGATTCAAACTGCTTTTAAAGCTCAGTCTAACAGTATTTCAAAGAATCTAATCAATCTACATATACCTAGAAGCTGGGCCAGAGGTGAGGGGAACAGGAGACCTTAACTCAAGAGCTGAACTCATGTTTGTCATCTCTGATACTTACTGTGTAACCTGAGCGAGTTACTTACCCTCTCTGAGACTCAGTTTCTTTGTCTGTTACATGCAGATAACATCTACCCTACAGTTGTTGGGTCAAGTGAGGTACTGTACCATGCACAGGCTTTATCAACTGCAGAATATAAATGGAAGTTGTCATTACCACCACAGCAGGAAGTGGGCTGTGCCTGCGCATGCACAGGGCACCGGGAAACCCTGACTGAGAGCAAAACAGGCTCTAGAGGAGGAAGGTAGCCAGAAAACCTGGGGGATAAGAACTGGGACTTATCCTCTCTCTCAATACGTGGCAGTGGGCCTTTGAGAACTGGTCCAAAGGAACACCTCCTAAGGAAATTAATTAATTAATAAGTAACGGACCAGAAATACAGCTACTCACTTTTGGGCTACGGATGTGGCCGTTCCTTCTGAGAATGTTACTTTTTACACGGTGCCTGGCATATGGAGAGGGTTCAGTATTTGTCAAAGTACTGAATTTGAGAACATGACAGGCCATACCTTCACTCTGTGGCTGGTGGTTAGCTCAGCTGGTTAAAATACCATCACTAGTGAAGTAAAGGTAACAGGTTTAATCTTTGTACAAATTGTTCATTTTGTTCTGATCCTTGACCATGCGTGCATCACACGCTTGCTCGGCTAGCTATCTCACGAAGATATACTGTGTGATTAAAAGACAAACTAGGCACATTTTCTAAGTTACAACAAACACATCACCAATATCCCAAGAGGGATTCAAACAGAGAATGCTGGTCCATTCACATCTTCTTGATTCAGGAATGAAAGCACATCACAAGAGCATGCCTTCACCCCAGAAAATGCAGTTCAGCAGTTTTCCCACCAACCTCTGCTTAAGTGGATTGCTGGATCAACCAAGGCTCTGTTCCAAATATAAAGCCTACTGACCAAGGCCCATGCGTGGATTTCAGGCCGGTCCCTAGCACACCGGGACGCTGCTGATCCCACCGCTGAGCTTCGTGCTTACCAACAATCAGCTGCATTTGTCCACGTGTTTGATGCCAGTTACACTTCTTATTGCATTGGGTAATTTAGTTAAACAGCACATAAACTGACAGAATAAGTTTCTATGAAACTAAGCTGAATGGTTCGAAAAATCCAACAAAGCAAGGTTACGGAAAAAAGCTCTAGTCAGATCAGGGGTTATCTTAAACCACTGTATAAAATAGAAGTACATTATTTCATATACCATTACATTCTCACCCCGCTTAAAAAAAAAAAAAAACCTAAAGTGGCAACTATAAATTATGCTTTTTGAAGGAGATTGTGCCAGAAAGTTGACGCAGCTCCAAGTGGTAGACCAGTAGTCTTACGCCTGCAAGCCGACATCAGACTGTTGGCAACTCCGTGCACGTTAATAACATTTTGAGTCAAATTCAAGTATTTAAGGAAGGGTACATGTTATTTTTTTAATAATTCCCTACTTGAAGTGACAATTTTGATTACTGGACAGGTTTTCAAATACCATCCAGAAGACCAGTTAGGTTTTGAATAATCAGACTGTTCCAAGCTTCTAGTACCCGAGGCTCTACGAATGCTACTGCGGTGTCCAGTAAGTGCTGCGGAGGCACTAAAAAAAAAAATCCTCCTTGGTAACGGCAGACACTTATCAAATACCAACTGGCCTAAGTACTTCAGAGGAACCATCACCGAACCCTCACAAGATTCCCCTTGTTGCCCAAATCATACAAAGGAAAAAACTGAGACTCAGAGACGTTAAGTAGCTTGTCCTCAATCACACAACGGGATGCAGCCAGGATCAGACTCCAGGCTGTCTAATCCCCCTGCCTTCACTACTTACTTGCCTACATGTTCTTAATGTCTCAATCTGTGACTAAATGAAACAGACAAGCTGCAAAACAGCCATGTGTGGGACAAGCTCATTGATTTTGAGGATATGCATAAAACACAGGAGAATTGTAAATCAAAATATTCCTAAGGGTCATCCCTGAATAGTACAGTTACAGCTGATTTTAGTTTTCACCCCTGTGCTTTTTCTGAGTTTTTAAAATACCTGCAATGAAAGACATGACTTTTGCCATCAGAAAGGGCTACACGGTGGGCTCAGCCTTTTACTTCTTACCACACATACACGGCTGTTTTAACTTTAAAAAGACCTGACCTATTAAACAACATCAGATCACGGTTTTTATTTTTAAGTAACTATTAAAGCATCAAAGGTGGGGGGAGCGGGAAGCATTCACCACCATTCCAAAAATTTCTTTTTGGATGTATAAGACAATATTAGACCTTTCTTTGCTATATTTAATGCAGAAGTAGTTATAAAACCATAGAACAAAACGAAAAGCCAAACAATCATTACATTCAAGTATTCAACAGCTTTCTACAAGAAAAAAAAAGTCTGTGCAGTGCAATTGTAGCTATCATTTCATTACCTTTTCTGTAAACAAGTCTGCTGACAACAACAATAGTTATTATACTATCATGCCTTCTAAATGGGTCTGGAGTGAAGTCAGTAGGATCTACAGCATTAGGAATGACGGACACTATTTCAGGATTCAGTGCTGCTCTTAGCACAGTGTTTTCCTTACTAGTGTAAGAGACACAAATTATGTGGTTTGTGTCACAAAGAGACACAGTTAGAAGCTTGTTTGTGAGCACCGAGCTGACATCAGCAAATCCGAAAAGGGAATGGTCCGTGAAGACTGTCTGGAGCCCCATTGTCTTGGCGTGGAAGAGGGCATCATGGGCCATGGCAGAAAAAGAACTATGTGAATGGATTATTGTGACTCTCTCCCGAACAAATATGCACCTGAGCAACGGCAGACTATGAAAGAGGGTCGTGGCTGTAGATTGGTTGTACATGACTTTCAGAGGCAAGTAATAGACTTTGAGGCCATTAGTGAGGTAACGGATGCCTTTCCGATTTCCATAAGCATGGGTGACAATGATCACTTTGTGCCCTCTTTCAATCAGGCACTGAGAGAGCTGGTAAATGTGGCTTTCCACGCCTCCCATGTTAGGGTAGAAAAAGTCCGACACCATGCATATGTTATGGGTGCGGGTCCTACATGTTGACAGACTTCCAGGGCTAACACGGGAGCGCACAGCTGAGGGAGGCTGGCCATGCCCACCTCCTCCTCTATAGGCCATGCTGAGATGGTTTAGGCATCTGTCCTCAGTGCAACTCGGTTATGTGTCGTCTAGTACCTGAAAGAGAGAGTAAAACAAGATCTCAGCTCAGAGACAAAATACATTACCTTTTCCAAATCCAGATATAAACGCTGTTTTATGCTAATGTAAATTTGCTAGCTTTCCCCCGAGAAATAAAACACAAGCATATAATGAAATTACTCACCTGACATTTACTTGCTTAGCATTTACTCTGTGCTATACAACAAAACTAGATTGCACAATGCCCTTACATTTTAATTTTGCTTTAAAAATACTGCTACACATAATTTTTAAAAATTAGTTTGTTACATCACAGTAGAGAAGAATGTGCTATGCTAACAAACCAGTTCATTCCAATAATTAAATATATGGTTCTTTCCAGAAAAAGTTTGCCAACCCTGCTCTAGAGCTTAGCCACTGATGCAACGAATCTCATACAATTTTGCTATTCACTGTGTGGCTTATACTAAAATATACCTGGAGCTAGAAGTGTCTTTTTGACAGTAGCTTTTTCAAGTATCACCTACAGCACAGGCTGCTGACACCCATCTACGTTTTCCTCTTCCTTATTCAAGGATGGCGATAAACTGCTTTCATTTTCTTAACCTTTCTTTCAGTTAAGTAGGCCTTTCTTCCAGAAGTGTCCCTCTCTTTGGTTTGAAGTCTAAAGATAAAGGCTCAATTCGAGATGGAGTGGATCTGGGGCCATTTTCTACATCTAACGTAGGAAATATTGATCTCAGGGGTCCTCTAGATCCTCATCAGCACAAAATGCCCACTCAGTACTCAGTACTATCACAGATTCTTACTTTTAAAGCCAAAGCGTGTCCTGGAAAGCTAGTGAAAATCTTCCTCAGATTGACAAATGAGATCCCCACACTTCCGGAAACTGAACTACATAATGGAAAGCCATCCTAAGGTCTGAGTTTCTGATTTCACCTGCAAACTCAGGAAATGCAAAGTAACAGCCTGTGTAAACCCTTAATTATCTCTTCTTGCCAACAAAATCATCTATAGTTTAAATATATTCTCAGAAATACTCAATAAGTGTTTGTTGACCTGAATTTACTAATTAAGATTCAAGATTACCAAATATTGCGATTCTTCAGTTTTGTACTTTTAAGTGGTTTCAGTAACATTTTCTTACTGTGGTTTGTCACCTAAACATGAATTTCCGGTTGTATTCAATTTAAAAATATGACTGATTTTTTAAAAAGGGTAAAGAACCACATGAAATTATCTGAAGTTTTGTCATTAACCTGCAAACGTTCTGTGAGAAGTCAGCCTACTTCCATCGGGTTATCACACCTAACATCTTTATGGCGTAAAAGCTGAACAAACGGAACCACCATAGAATCTTAGATTTTAAAGCCGACGAGAGGCTTGGAGATCCAGGAATACCTCCCTCGCTTTACAAATGAGAAGCCGAACAAGTTGAGTGATTTGCCCAAGGTCTCCACCCAGCCACTAAAGTGGCAAATGCGAGATGGCCGTAAATTTACACCCACCATGGCCAACGAGTCCCTGGGCAGTCAGCAGCAGAGGCTCCCAAAGAGCTTTAGGGAGACCCTGCGGGGGCGTGGGTCAAGAGGACGGTGCTTCCACACCCACACCCTGGGCAATTCCCCGGCTTCACTCACTGAGAGGTCACCGGAGAGCGCCAGGGCCAAGGAAGGGACGACCCTGCTCAATCAGCGACCCCGCTGGAGTCAAGCAGGGTCTCGCCAGGCCCAAAAGGAGGAGGATGGCCAGACAGTGGGCAGGGGTCTGAGGCTGGGGGTCCCAGAGCCCTTCACCCTGCCCGCCTCAGTCTCGGCGGAACCGGCTCCAGTGCGGCCGCCCCAGCGCCCCTCAGCCCCACTCGACTCCAGAGGCTCTCGACCCCGACTTCCGAGCTTCTAAGCCTCGCCAGGTTCGCCCCTTCCATCGCCGGCCACACTCCCACGGGTGCAGCCCAGTCCCATCCGGAAGCGGCCGAGAGTGCCGGCGCAGGGTCAGACGCGCACTTACCGGCGAGTCCCATGGCCGCCAGTGTCCGGACCTCCCGCGGCTGCAGCCAGAGTCCCACCCCGCTACCCCGAAACACCAATCCGAGGCGTCCGCGCCCGAGCGCCGCGCCCCCGAGGCGGCCAATCGCAAAGATGCGCTGGCATCACGTGCAGGAGCGCCGCTCAGTCCCCACCCTTCAGCGCGCGATGTAACGTCAGCGCGCGTAGGCACATGTTTTCGCAATGTTGGGGAGGACTAGTTTTCTCTGCATCGAAAGTAGTAATCCTCGGTTTAACCTTTTAGATGAATTCTTAGTGTCGCGAATCTCTAGAAACCGTCCCTTGTCTCTTCTGACACAAGCAGCCTACCAGGAGCTTTCCTCAGGGTAAAGTCAGAAATCCCAGCGTGACTCGCAGCGAGCCTTTAGGGCTGCTGGGAGTTGTAGTCTGGTGGCCTTTGGAAGCGAAGCCGAACTTAGAAAACTCACTCCCAGGATGCACCGCACTTTTAAACCTGAATTCTGCGGAAGGTCGGGTGGGTTCGCGTCTTGGTTGCCTAGTTACAGCGTCTGTTTTCTGGAAGCCCGTTCTCACTGGCTTCGAATTGGAGAGACTTTTGGGGCGGAAGGCTACCGGGGTCGTGGTGGCGTTGTGTTTGTGGTTTTCTTGTGCCGCAGCAGAACGATGCTTGTTCTTAGCCACCCTGCTAGGGTTGCCTGATGTAGCAAATAAAAATACACAGATAAAGAGTAAAATAAAATCAAATTTTATAAAAATTTGAATTTCAAATAAACACTCTTTATACAAGTATATCCCAAACATTGGAGACCTTACTAAAAAATTACTCGTTGTTGATCTGAAATTCAAACTTAACTGGGTATCTTATATTTTATCAGGCACTCCGAAGAAAAAAAATCCAAGGTCTGACCTGAAATATCAATTCCCACTCAGACTGGTTCAACTGGCTATGGTGGTGCTTGGCCAGGAGGCTAATGAATCCGTGGAAGTGGTCTGATGACCCTCCACCCCTTCCATTTGGTGCTTGGAGTTCCCCCAGCTCTGCCATGCATACACTTTGGAAGAGCAGATGCCTTCCTGAACTCTATCTTCTTGGGATCTCACATGGACTTCTTTCTGAAAACTGGCAATTGAATTTTCTTGTTAAATGTCTGCCCTCCTGGCCAGATAGTAAGCTGAGGCAGGGTTTGTTCCTGGTAATAGACATTGAATAAGTTTTAGTTGTATTAATGAATTTTTTTTATCCAATACCAGTACAGTCCCAGTACAAACATATTATATACCCAATAAAATGTATTAAAAATATTTTATGGAGTGTGCCATATAAAAATTACAGTTCAGGGGTACCTGGGTGGCTCAGTCCATTAAGCGTCTGACTCTTGGTTTTGACTCAGGTCTTGATCTCATGGGTCGTGCAATTGAGCCCAGCGTCTGGCTCAGCGCTGGGCGGGGGAGAGAGAGTCTGCTTGAAGATTCTCTCTCTCTGCCCCTTCTCTCTCTCTCCCTCCCTCCCTCTAAAACTAAATAAATCTTTTTTAAAAATTACAGTTCAGTGATATAATTCAAAGAGCATTTTGATTGTAGGATTTGAAGTGTATCAGTGAGTTAACTTTAATGAGTTGAAGTTATTTAAGTCAAGTAGGAATAGATACGCTGCACTAATATTGAAGCATCAGAGAATAAAGATAATGAAGGCTCAAGGATACTTATTCAAGCTTAATAAGTTGCAGTTGGTTGCCCAGATCGCACCAACACTACCAGATGCTACAGCATTGCTTTGGTCTCCTTTTCATTTTTGCGATAGGTTTTAAGACACAGGGTGTGGGCAGAGACCCTGGAAAGTATAGTAAGCCCATTTCTTGATCCCCTGGTTTGCCAGTGCCATAGTTCTAATCACAATACCCATTTGAAATTCTAAGATCCTAATGCCAATATTCCTTCAAAAGAGTTGTGATCTTTTTTCAAAACAGAATATTTTCTACCTTTATCATCAAACATTTACTGAGTGCCGACTCCGTGGAAGGCTTTGTGGGGAATACAAGGAATATTAAACATAGTCCCTATGTTTTAAAAGTTTTTTTAAATCCTTCCTAGCTTTTATATACCTTTTGCAATAGTAAAAAACAATCCAGTTTCCTTGAAATGTTCTTTGTGTTTTAAATACTGTAGGACAGGCTGACCTTTATAAATAATTAATAAAGGCACACTGTTGCTGAGTCTCTGTGGCGGGGGAGAGGGCTGAGAAAACTACAGGCTGTTCCAGTGAAGTGTATAGGTTCTGGCAGTCTGAAAACATTGAAATTCATTCATCATGCTCCAGTCTCTGACCTAGGCACTGAGCATTAAAGGCAAATAAATCATAATTCTGCACATGGCTCACAATCTCATGTGGGTATGAGACTCTATTTATAGTCAGTTAAAATTTAAGGCTACTTTCTAAAAGTCAAAGCAAAGTTGTAGCATCAGGATTAAGTTATAAAACTAGGGATAATTCTAATTATAGTGTGCTGCTTAAATGTATGGAATCAAGGTATGCTTTTAGAGAATTTTCTTAGAAACTACTAAAATTAAAGTAAAATACTTACAGGCAGTGTATTCTGATTACACTTAGTAAAATATGAGGGCAGTCAGTACCAGTTGTGGTATAAAATGGCCTATAAATGGAGAAGGTATAAAATAAACGTCGATATCCCCTTCCCTTGAAATCGAGCTCTTTGTAAATTCAACTCCAAGCTCCCTTGGATAATTTTGGAGTGGGAAGGCCACATATTTGTATCGAGAGCCTCCTATCTATATACAAGACACGAGGCAGGGAAATTCTGGCACGAGCTTTACACCCAAGGAACCAAGACGGAGTTAAGGCATACCTGTGAGAAGAGGTAGGAAGTGATAAGCACTGTAAGAGAACTACAAGAAAAACACTGGGAGTTCAGAGGGAAAGAGTATTTCTAGCTGCCAGCATTCAGCGTAGAAGTAAAAGGTGCTCATGCAACTGTTGGGAGCAAGATCATTCCAAGAACAATAGGAACAAGGTAGAGAGACAGGTGCTGACTGTCCAGTGTATACTACTGTGGTTATGCAGGGGATGAGGGCGGGGGGGGGGGGAGGATTCAGACAGGACAACGGTGGCATTTCCAGCAAAAGTTGAAGCAAACTGGTGGAGGATCTTCCTGAGGAAAATGGACTTGATGTTGAGCCAGACTTGCAGCCGAAATAATATTTTCAATTAACATCTTGAGACGATTCACTCCCCATTCTGCTTCAAAAAGAAAAAGAGATATGAGAAAATCAAAATGTTATAGCTGTGATTTAAAAAAGAACAAAGATTTCCGCGTGCCGGAAAGAGAACCAAAATGCAAAATGGTAATCCAACCAAAGCCACCACAGGTCCTGGACTCTGTATGTGGAAGCAGGGAGACATGAACAGGGTTCAGCTCTTGAAGAATGACAAAGACTAAGGGCTCTGCATGTGGCTAGAGACAGGAACCAGGCTTGTAGGAGGCGTTTACATTGGCAGGGGAGGCGTTTACATTGGCGGCTTTCAATGAACCACCTTCCAGTATTCACACTCTTATCTTATCCCCTCCGACACTGACTCCAGGCTGGGCTGTGTGACTTGCTTGGCCAATGGGTCATCAGTAAATGAGAGGCAGCAGAAGCTTAATTAGTAAGTGCTTATGCACAGAGGAATGACCTAATGGATACTCTCCTCTTGATCGCCAATGGCTATGCAGCAAAGAAGCTCAGGCAAGATACTGAATGATGAAAAGCCACCTGGAGAGAGGCCGTGGAGAATGAGAGTTCATCCTGGGCTTCCACAAAATTAATGTAATACTTCTTTATTATTTATTGATTATTATTTATTAGGTACCTACTAAATGTAAGCCACTGTTTTCACACTGAGGATTATGAGTAAATTAGACAAAGTCCAGCTCTTGTTGACCCAGTGACCAAATCCATTAAGGTCACAATTTTCACCAAACTACTACTTTCCTTGAAAGCCTTAAAATGGGGGCCTCCTGGCTGGCTCGGTCAGTAGAGTGTGTGACTCTTCATCTCCGAGTCACAAGTTCGAGCCCCACATTGGGGATAGAGTTTACTTTAAAAAAAAAAAAAAAAAAAGCCTTAAAATGGATGATTTGTGTCATCTCCTTGATCAAGTATCTCAGTATTTTAATCTCATCCAACTCTGACTGTTATGCTGTCTAATCTGTTTCCAACTCTAAAGGGCCTCCTGCCACACTGCTTTCTTTAGTCACAGATTTATGATCTGTGCTGCCCTATTAATACATTCTCTAGCCTTGTGGCTTAGATAATCAGAGACATCATGCATCACTCACATTTACTGTGTTTGCTTTAAGCTCTTGAGGCTTCCCACATATTTTTATTTTGCAACAAATTGAGAATTTTCAGCCCACATTCCAAAGCTATTAGTATGACAAGGACTCCTGTACAATGACCAGTAAATTCTAATAAGGCAGTAGGCCAGTTATCCCACCTCCACCCTGAGGACCAGCCCCATCCCAGCTCAGACGCAGCCTCAGAGATCCAAGTGCACATCGCTTGGTAGTTACGGAGAGTTAGAAGTGCAAAGCCAGACAGTAAATAGTTTTGTCCTAGCCCAGAATTCTCTATTATATCCCCATCTAAATGGCAGTTAGGAAGCCAGAGCCACTAACCAAAACATGGTTTGAGTTGGTTTTAGGGAAGATCCGGGAATCCAGCATAAACCAAGAAATTTGCTCACAGTCATGCTTCTCTCTTTCAGGATGATCCCTTTAATTTGTAATTTACATTGTATTTTTCAAATTGTTTTCACTTTCCATAACTCAGGTGAAGTTAGCAACTCTGAGAGCAAGGAGAGGGGATTATCACCCACATTTGGCAGGTGTGGAAACTAAGGATCCATGGGGTTTCTCAGCCTCACAATGAGATTAGGTGGCAGAGCCTGTCCTTGAATTTAGACTCTCTTTTTACCAAAGATGAGCAAAGTGACTCCTTTGTGCAGTGTCCCTCGGGCTGCCTGTCTGCCCCAGCTCTCAGGGGAATTTGACCAACAACTACAGAGGAGGAGAGAGGGGTAGGAACTGAATGAAGGAACACAGCTAGGAGTTGAATGCTAATGTGTTATGTACGAGCCCTTTCAACAGGCTAGGATTCAAACAGTGAAACTAGAAGGAAGAAGGCCCTTTGGCTTGAAGGTCATAAAGCGGGGGCAAGAGGAACAGTTACAGAGAGGAATGATTGGGCCAAAGCCAGCAAATGACAGAAGTGATAATGGCAGCACGATGGGGACTGGTCCCAAGCCAGGTCCAGATCAGCCGTGTCCCCAGGGCAGAGACTGAGAACTAAAGCCAGGAAAGGAACCGGGGCCCGGAGCCACAGGCCGCAGAGGACTTGGGTGAACGAGAGGAGAATTCAGGAACTGCTTAGGGACCGGGAGAGGAAGGGCAGGGATTTGGGCCAGGATCCAGCAATTCTACCATGCAGCATCAGGAGAAACAAAACTATTTTGCCGTGTTTGTTGGTTATCTTCTTCCCCCTTGTTATTGTACAGCTTGGGTCACACAATTTTGATCAGGACAGTTTCCAATTGTAAGGAGGTCGCAGTGTATGGAGAGAGAAGCATTAACACAACTATTTACAAAAGTGATGAAGTGTTGTAATAGATTGTGTATCTATTGATCTTTCTATCTATTTCTGCAAGATGCTGGGGAGGGCATCCATTTTTAAGTTATTTGCTAAACAACTTGATTCTGTGCATTAACTTTTTAATTTGCTAAAAACACTTAATACTCGTAAATCTACCTTCATTCTGCTAATGCTAACTCCCTCCGGTTTACCAAACTTTCAGTAAACTCTATGCCATCAAAAAAGTATTTGTGGGAATATTTTGGAGAAAAAGCAAGGGAAGAGGCCCATGCTCCCTTCCTGGGTGGCCGTGGGACAGAGAGAAGAATCCCTTGGTCACGAGAAGGGAGATGTGAACGACCAGAGAACCAGTGCACAAAGTTGGAGCTGGAAGCACCCAGAAGACGCAAGTTCTCAAAGACATCAGGGGTTATCAGTGGGCTCTCCTCCATCATGAGATGTGGGTCAAGTGAAGTCAAATTGAATCTCAAAGCAAAGACAGCTGATTCTTGGGTCACACTTGCTTAACCGTATGTATGTATGTATGTATGTATGTATTGTTAACGATGTTATATATCTATGACAGAGAGTGCGAGCATGAGGGTGGAGGGCAGAGAGAGAAGCAGACTCCCTGCTGAGCAGGGAGCCCGATGTGGGGCTCTATCCCAGGACCCTGGGATCATGACCTGAGCCGAAGGCAGACGCTTAACCTCATTTAGAATCTTAAACTTTCTGAGAGCTACTCCCTGGGCTTTCCCAAACTGACATCAAGTTTTGTTGTGCCCATGTCTCTCCCCATCCCTCCCCCTTCTCAATTCCTTTCTCTCTTTAAAACATGTTTTTGTCCTTTGGCATAAAATTTAGAGTGATACCATATTAAATAACACAAAATTCCATGGCCTGAATAATTATGTTTATTTTCTTTAAATACACTTAAATATGAAACAACAGACAGTAGTTCAGTAAACTCGAAACTACAAGCTGGACAGTAATCAGAAAATCAGGGCTGATCCTACAAATCGAAATCTGCATAATAAAGAGTCAGAATGATTCACAAGAGAGTTGCATTAGCAAAGGACTTGGAGACTATAAAATTGCCTCATGGGCTTGGAGTAATCAATCATATGGCCCCTCTGATTCTAGGATGATCAGACCCTTTTCATTCACCAAAAAAAAAAAAAAAAAAAAGGGTTTACACAGGTCCCCTCCTCTCCATTCTCGGTGTGCAGGGGCATCTCAGTTGGAAGACATCTGTCAGTGAACCAGGGAATTCTCAGCTGGTGTGCAATGGAAGAGTGATCTGGAGTCACTGTGGGACTATGGGTAAAACGGATTTTTTTCTAGTACCTGGGGAAAAAAAAAGTGACAGCAACTTGGCAAAGCAGCATGCTGTTTAAAATGTCAGGGATGGGGAACTTAGGAACAAATTTGAGTCAAGGATTTTCTTGACCGTGGAGCCCACAGGCAGCCTTCTTCTTTAGAAAGCGGCAATGCTTTGCACATGCTGGTTTTCCATTTGCACATGTTCTGGTGTGAAAGGGACATCTGTCCTCACAGCTGTTGCAAAAGAAAATAAACATGACAATTCAGAATAAAGGACTACATTCAAAGGAATAACTCTGTTCTGATTTGATTACGTTTATCCAAGTGAATTTTCCAGATATGTACTGAAAATGTCAATATAAAATCCTGAATGGTTATTCCACATGGATGCAAAATCTATGAAAGCCCAAACGGTAACCTGTAAGGGTTCTATTAATCAATAAATTTCTTGCTATATAAATCCAGTGCCAGCCCCTTCTTCAAAGAAAAAACAAACATAGTTAGGTGGACATATATTGAGAGAGATCGAACCAAAGAGTCTGCTGATCTGAAACTCACCCCCCAAATAATTGTTTAAATCTCATCAATTAACTTTTTGCTGAAGATCCATACCCAACAAGAGCAGGCAGGATTTTCTTTTTTTTTTTTTTAAGATTGATTTATTTATTTGAGAGGAGGAGAGGGAGAGAGAAAGAGAGAGTCTCAAGCAGACTCCCCAGTGAGCACAGAGCCTGACACGGGGCTCGATCCCAGGACCCCGAGATCAGGACCTGAGCTGAAACCAAGAGTCAGCCGCTTAACCAACTAAGCCACCCAGGCGCCCCAGGATTGTCTTGTTTTCACACTTAATCATCACTTTATATATTCTCACTTCATCCTCAGTTGCCAAACCTCTGTTTTACTATCCAAAAAAAGGGGCTTGGGCACTGCAAACAATGCTTTAAGAAGGAATCTCACCAAATCGGAAGGGCATTCACATTCAATGTCAGTGGGTCAAATGAAGATAAAAGTGAAAATGCCTTTGACCTGCAGGTTTCTGCGTGAAATATCTTGTGCTTCTGGCAGCAGCTCTCCAGGGTCTCTCTGCACTCCATACAACTGCAGTTTTCTGGGTGCTGGATGAGATCTCTGGGACACAGCGTCTTACAGACACACTCACAACGATCTTCGTCAAACTTCATGTGCGGCCCGCAGAGAGCCAGTTCCTGGAGATGAGAGTGATCTAAACGGAAACAGAGAAGGGTTGCTCAAACGGCTGCCGCACAGATAACGTGGCATCAAAGCTGTTGTATATATTCCATTATTCTAAAAATAACTGGGATTCTCCTAATCTCCTTTCCTGTAGATTCTTGCTCCCTCATCTTTTCACGCGGTGAAGGAGGTTCACCTCTGATTTCATAATACAAACAGTGAATTCATGTGTTCTCTTAAGTTGGTGAGAAAGAGGCTATAAGCTGAATATTTTCGATAGCATTTTTAAAGAGATTTTTTGGTTGGTGACTTGTTACAAAATGCAAACTTTCACAACCAAGTATTAGGAATAAAACATAGGCTAGCTAAGAATTATGAGTCTGGTCCTTCCTAGTTTTTAGATGAAGATTAAAAGGAGGGAGGAACAGAGGTATTGGCATGATAGAAATACACCTCAGACCTTCCAGGCTGTGGATAGAAACAGTGATGTATTTCCTCACCACAGATCACAACGCTGTTATAAAAGATAGAACAATGACGATAAACTTTGATTCCACAGACATCTGTTGGAAGAATACATTCAGCTGAGAGGAGGGTCTGAGAGGTTTTTGACACACCGAGTTGACAGCTATTTCTACTGCTCCATGTCCAATTCTGATCATCAAGTTGACATTCAGTGCAGGAAATGGAAGAGATAGAAACTTGGGAAGAACTTGACTGTGACACTTGAGCATTCTTGAAGGTTCTGGAGGCCAGTACGTGGTGAGTTTCTTCCCCAAACCCACTTCTCTCCAAAATGGTGCCATCACTCCTGACTCTACTGCCATATTGGGTCTCATCACTTTGTCTACCTGGTTCTGCCATCCTGAATTTGTTCTATCATTTCCATCAACACTGCCACCCCCTCAGTTCAGTCAGTACCCTTATATTTTTTGTGTAGATGGCTGTCACAGATCTTGCCATCACAAATTTTATCCCTTCAATCCATTTTCCACAATATTATTAAATGCAAATCTAATCGCATTGCTCTACTGCTTTAAGTTCCTTAAAAGTTTCCCAATAAAAGACTATCTTCCCACCGGGACATATGAGACCCTCCATGAACTAGAGCTTACTAACCTCCCAGGCTCATCTCTCTCCCTCTCCCCTGTCCCCCCCTTCATATATATCCTATGTTCCATCCATAGCAAATTATACTACTTTTTGTTCCCCTGATATGCCAGGGTCTCTCAGCTCCATGCTTTTGGCCTTGCCCTTCTCCCTGCCCGTCAGGTACCTCCCCAGGTAGCTTTCCCAACTTCTACAAGTTTAGCTAAGTGCCCTTACCCTGTGCGTATTTCCATCCTGTCCTTTCTTGCACTGTTTACATTTGTCTATTTCCTCTATGAATTAAAAATGCTGAAGGTTATGGGAATCGGAGCTCATCATTCTGACATAAAATAGGCACATGATAAATGTTGAGTTCATCTGCTGTAATAAAAGGGTCCTGAAACAGGCTCATGTATGAAGACTCTGAAGAATCCCAGCCATCGTTCCAAGACATTGAGTTAAACCATATGTTCTTGTCAATATCTGACCACTGATAGTATATCAAAATGGCAATCTCATGTTGTCTAATCTCATAGTTTTAACCGCTCTGTGGTTGATGATATGCAAGGAACCATGTGGAAAAGGTGTTGGAAGGCTAGATCTGGGGAGATTCTTGGAATTGCGTGAAGAGGAAAAAGGTGAGCTTTGTAAGCCATATGCCAATGAGGCAAATGCCACTTTTGGGCAAGTTGAGAATAGGTTGTTCCCATTGGATATTCCTTTCTGCCTTGTCAAAGATTAATTGACCATATAATTGTGGGTTCATTTCTGGGTTTTCTATTCTGTTCCATTGATCTATGTGTCTATTTTTGTGCCAGTACCATACTGTTTTGATGACTATAGCTTAATAATATAACTTCAAGGCTGAAATTGTCCATTGATTGATAAATGGATGAAGAAGAAGTGGTATGTATGTATACAGTGGAATATTATTCAGCCACAAAAAAGAATGAAACCTTGCCATGTTCAATGACATGGATGGAGCTAGAGAGTATAAAGCTAAGTGAACTAAGTCAGAGAAAGACAAATACCTTATGATTTCACTCTTATGTGGAACGTAAGAAACAAAACAAACAAGCAAAGAGGAAAAAAAGAGGGAGAGAGATAAACCAAGAAACAGACTCTTAACTCTAGAGAACAAACTAATGGTTACCCGAGGTGCGGTGGGTGAGGAGATGGGGGAAATAGGTGATGGGGATTAAGGAGGGCACTCGCTGTGATGAGCACCAGGTGATGTGGAATTCAAAAGAATTGCTGAATCACTGTATTGTGCACCTAAAACTACTCTAACAGTGTATGTTAACCATATTGGAATTAAAATAAAAACTAAAAACAAAACAAAACAAAACAGATTGTTAAAGGATAGTTAAGTAGCTCTTAATAGATTAGCATGATTCACTGGGTGGCGGTAGAGATTCATTCAGACCACCTCAGGTAGAACCAGTGCCCTTCGATGCTTTAGGGAAACAGTCCCCTAGGTGTTTGTTGAGCTGCAGCAAGGTAGTTGGCAGAGGCTGGTTTGAATCCCTATAGGCATTAATTAAAAGTAACAGAGGGCGCCTGGGTGGCTCAGTTGGTTAAGCGACTGCCTTCGGCTCAGGTCATGATCCTGGAGTCCCGGGATCGAGTCCCGCATCGGGCTCCCTGCTCGGCAGGGAGTCTGCTTCTCCCTCTGACCCTCCTCCCTCTCATGCTCTCTATCTCTCATTCTCTCTCTCTCAAATAAATAAATAAAATCTTAAAAAAAAAAAAAAGTAACAGAGACTGGGGCACCTGGCTGGCTCAGGTGGTAGAGCATGTGACTCTTGATCTCAGGGTCACGAGTTCGAGCCCCACTTTGGTGTAGAGATTACTTAAAAAAAAACAAAAAAAACAAAACAACAAGTACCAGAGACTGGGGTAGGAGAACTGAGTGAAGCAGCAACTAGCTAAGGGTGATACCCTGAAGTATTACATATTGATTTCAGTCCTAGGGGGGTTGATGATGGAATGCCATGAGTTCTGTTCCCAGCCTTGTTTCATTCATCATTTTTCTCAATAAGCTCATGGACTTCTTCCAAATAAATTCTTGAAGTTGTGGCTATCTGGAAGAATTTAAAATAGAAAATGAGGACTCCCCAATTTTTCTTTTTTCTCTTTTGGTATTGTTTGTTGTAACACTTTAAAGCTATGATCTGAATCCAATGAGATGAAATTAAACTGGTCTTGGATTCACTAACCCACATGTGCTCGCTCATTCAGGGAAGAGAAGACATTGTGGATGGAGAAAAGGCAGTTGGTGTAACAGCCACATATGTGAAAAGGGTGTTTAGTGAACAGTAAACTCAGTATATGTCATCAGTTTGATGAGGCCACTGGAGGAGGGACCGTGATCTAGCTACCCCATGCCTCTCACTTCCATCACTGCTACAACTTCCCCCAAAGTCCCCTGCCGCCTTTCCTGCCCTGGGCCAACACATCCTCTTCTACCTTGTCACTGGTTGATTGTGTTAAAATTCAAATTGGTGCCGCCATGGGGTGCCTGGGTGGCTCAGTCCGTTAAGTGTCTGACTCTTGGTTTCAGCTCATGGTTCGTGATCTCATGGGTCATGAGCTAGAGCCCCCGTTGGGCTCCGTGTTCAGCGGGAAGTCTGCTTGAAGATTCTCTTCCCTTGCCCCTCCCCCAACTCATGTGCGTGCTCTTTCTCTCTCTCTAAAATAAATAAATAAATCTTAAAAAAAAAAAATTCTAATTGGTGCTCTCACTCTCCGGCTTGAGCCAGTTGAGGGGTTTCCCTTTGCCCTTAGCATCACATCCAATCTCTGGGACAAGGTGCCCAAGGTCCCCTGTGAACCTCTCCAGCTTCCTCTCACATCTACCCAGCCCTCTCCCATTATGTTCGCACCATGCTGAACTTTTTTTTAGCACGCTGACATGCTACCTTCTCGCACTTCCAGTCCTGAGCGCTTATGTTTCCCCTGCTCAGAGCTCTTCTCTCCTTTCCTCAGCACACTCGTGCACCAGCTGAGTCCCTCCCCAGGATATCTCCTTTATTAATTGTATATTGATCTCATGTTGAAATGATTCTATTTTGATATGTTAGATTAAATAAAAATACATAAAAATTAAATTTACTTGTTCTTTTGACCTTCTTAATGTGAGTACTACAAAATGTAAGTTACATACATGACTCTCACTGTTGTTCCATTGGACAGTCCGGTTCTGGAGAGAGAGACTGAGGTTCAATATAGCTTACTAACTAAAAAGAGTGTGCCCAGGGTAACTGGGCTGCCTTGGTAGGTGGCAGCCTCCTCCATGACTGAGGTATATTCTAGCAGAGGATAATCTGAACACTTGGAGGGAAGGATGTAGATGACATTCAAAACCTGCATGAGCTTTCATGAAAGCATTTAGAAGGAAACTGAGAGACAGAAGTCTAGAAAATAGAATGTTATTTACGGTTTCTAGGACAGTATTGCATAGAGTTTAGTCCTTACAGAGTCTTGCTTGTAGATCATAGTTTAAAACAAGCAAGGTTCAAAGTGCACGACTCCTTGTGATTTTTTTCAGTGGAATCCTGTCATGTTCTCTGGGAAATAAATTTTAACAGTGCATTCATTTTCAGCCAAAGAGTCATCACCAAACATCACAGCATTACGACTTCTGAGCAGTGATGACATTTGGTTCCCAACTCCTCTTAGCCCAATAGCTAGCCATGTTTTGCTTTTATTTTGCCCTAGTTTCAGAAAAAGTTTTCTCCTACTCCCCCTTTTTTTCTCAAATAATTGGCCTGTTTTCACATGCCACCGTTGAAAGAAACCAACAAGTCTAAAATTACTTTATGTTCCTGTGAGACTTTTATACAAATAAATTAAGTAAAATGTGGTTGACTAGTGTTTAGCTCTGAAGTGGCTTTCATGAAAGGCTTCCAGTGCCTTTCAAATCCAATGCTGTGGGATGCTCTAATCACTGGGCTTTTCTTTAAGATTAAAACGCAGAGTCATGCATCGGTAGACTTACTGTATAATGAGAACACAGAGGGCTCTGGAACCTGACTGCTTCTATCACTCTTAGCTGTGTAATCTGGAGAAAATGACAAGACATCTTGGTGTGTCCATTTTGTCATTGTAAAAGAAAGGGATAATAATAGTACATTACAGATTGTTGTGAGGATTAAATGAGTTAATACATCTAAAAGGCTTACAACATTGCCGGGTCATAGTAAGCGCTCAATAGATGTTAGTTACAATTGTTACTTTTATTATTACTATTATTATTTTCTTACTGTTATCATTACCTTCCATTCCAACAAGTGGATTCTCCTCCTGTAAAACACATTTACATTTGTCGCCATCCCACAGCATGTCAATAGGACAGAGTTTCTTAGAATGGGAACAGCTAGGAGAAGAAAACAATAAACCAGATTTAAAATCTTTCAAGGGCAATCATACCTTTGGGGCATTTTTAAAAAAAATGTTGAATACGTTTCTGAGTGGAGAATAGTTAAGATTTTTAAGGAGCTTAATCCATATTTATGAACTGTATGTTATTAGATAGTAATTCTGTAAGCACAAATATTCTATTAGGAAACTAAACTGTAATTTTGGACATTTATAATCTTTTTAAGAAGATTGCTGTTAAGGGCGCCTGGGTGGCTCAGTTGGTTAAGCGACTGCCTTCGGCTCAGGTCATGATCCTGGAGTCCCTGGATCGAGTCCTGCATCGGGCTCTCTGCTCGGCAGGGAGCCTGCTTCTCCCTCTGACCCTCCCCCCTCTCATGTGCTCTCTCTCTCTCTCTCATTCTCTCTGTCTCAAATAAATAAATAAAATCTTTAAAAAAAAAAAAAAGATTGCTGTTAAAACGGTGCAGACTAGCTGTCGACAGAGCTTATTTACCAAAAGTAAACATTGTCTTGACATAGCTCTTAAGCACTACCTTCTTTAAAATGGAGATAAGGGGCGACTGGGTGGCATAGTCGGTTGAGCATCCGACTCTGGATTTCGGGTCAGGTCGTGATCTCAGGGTCATGAGATCGAGCCCCGTGTCAGGCTCCATGCTGGACGTGGAACCTCCCAAAAATTCTCTTTCTCCTTCGCCCTGGCCCGCACACATGCTCTCTCTTTCTCTCTCAAATAAATAAATAAATCTTTAAAAATAAAATAAAATGGAGGAAAGAACACTGGCGAGGACAGCAGGAACAACCTGAGGATAAACGTTCTTTTTATAGGAGCTTTCTTTTTTGCTTGAGAGCAATAGGAGTGTTTACTTGGCTCGGTAATAACTAACATAAGTACCAGCTCACTCCACTTGCCACCCACCCAATACTTTTACGGCTCTACTTCTGCAAGATCTAAGTATCTAACTTAGTTACTTTAGGTTTTCGTTCACTGGCATTTGCCCTTTGTTTCTCTTTATGGAATTCTTTTTTTTTTCCCCCAAATCAGTGATTCTTACCTTTGATTTCAGGACACCAGGGCGTCATAATTTTTCTCATAAAGAACCACAGACTACTCTCAGGAAATTTCAATGTCAAATTAATTTTAAGCCATTTTAATTTAAAATAAGACTTTTCCATTTGGTATTCTTAAGAGGAAAGTCAGAAAAGTCACCAAACTCAGATGCAGATAGTTTTACCACTCTCAGGGACTTTGGGAACCTCCTCCCTCCCCCAATTTTGGGAGTTAAAAGGATAAAGAGCTGGAAATGAGTTTCATGTAATGCTTGTTCTGGAATAGGGACATGTGCCAAAGTTGAGGCTGGAGTAGAGTTATACAACCACACTGGACTATGCATATTAAGAACAAAGGTTTCAGGGCATCTGGGTGGCTCAGTCAGTTAAGCATGACTCTTGTTTTAGGCTCAGGTCATGATCTCAGGGTCGTGAGATCAAGCCCCGCGTGTGGCTCCATGCTCAGCCTGGAGTCTGCTTGAGTTTCTCGCTCCCTCTCCCTCTGCTCCTCCCCCCAACCATGCTCACTCTCTCTTTAAAATAAATAAATAAATCTTAAAAAAAAGAAGAACAATGGTGTCTAGGGGCGCCTGGGTAGCCCAGTTGGTTAAACATCTGACTCGTGATTTCGGCTCAGGTCACAATCTCAGGTGGTGAGATCAAGCCCCGCGTCAGGCTCTGCACTGGGCATGGGCATGCAGCCCACTTAAGATTCGCTCTCTCCTTCTCCCTCTGCCCCTCCGACCCCTATCCCGCCCCCTGGTTTCATACGCACACACCCACTCTCTCTCCTAAATAAATAAATAAATAAAATAATTTAAAAATAGAACAAAGGTGTCTATAAGTAGATGGGTAAGTTCATAACCACTGAGCTTTTTGGTCCTACTGCAATATACATCTAATACCTAATTAATGAAGTATTCTCCACATACAACTTTAGCAAACGCAAGAACAAGCATAGCTGAATACAAGAAGTACTTACTGATCTTCTTCTGGGATCTGGATGGATCTTCTGATAATGGAGTATGAGTGGCGGGGAGCCGTTGGCAAGCACTTACAACCTGTATGGTTGGCAACTTTAACAGGCACTAATTCAGGTACTGAAGTCAAAGGCACTGATATCTCAAAGAGCTAGAAGAGAGAAAGAACCATAACACATATATATTGTTAGATAATAACTTCTATAGTCTGCATTTTTGCCTTTGTCCTTTATGGTAGTGACTTTAGCAAAGCTGCCCATTAACAACAGAACTAATAAGGATAAGGGCTGGCATGATGGAAAGGATGCTGGGCTGGGAGTCAGGAGACCGGGGGCTTACGCAACTTTACCAAATATTTAAGCTTGACCAAATCTCTTAACTTTTTGGTGTCACTGGTACCCCTGTAAAAGGCACTGTTGGTCCCTGCTCCTATTTGAAATGTGAGTGTAAATTATACGGACTAAATGAAATTATAGCTATGAAGTTTCTTTGAGACCATGGTGAATAGATTATTGCGTCTTTTCTTTCCTTTTCAGTCCTTTGGACTTGGCTATGTGACTTGCTTTGGCCAGCAGGATGTTAGCAGACATGACACAACTACAAACTTGAACTGTGTGTGCTTTGTGGGCTCACTTTCTCCTGCGTATGCTGTAGCCATGAGAAGAGCATGATTTGGCAGGTGTGCTGGCCGAAGAGATGGGAGCCACAAGGAACAGACCTGCACTTAACCTGTAGCTTGGAGTCAAGCCCAAGTGAGCCCACTCGAAGTTTTAGAGTGTGTATTACACAGTAATACCTGACTGATACAAGATCATCATGCCCAACCAAATAATTATAAGTAACACGAATATCATTCTTTCTGTGTTTCTATATGCCAGGTCCTGTTTTATATTAATTCATTTACCCCTTATAACAACATTATAGGGTGGGTTTTTTCTTTATCCATCCCCAATTCTACAGGTGAAGAAACAGATGTACAGAGAGGTTACATAACTTGCCTAAGGCCACATAACTATTTATTGGAAGAGAGGGGATTTGAATTCAGGCAGTCTGCTCTAGAGCCAGAGCTGATACTCTTAAGAATATGCCTTATTACTTTTTGGAACAAAATGTCCGTGACCCGAAGAAGCAAGGTGGGATCTTGCCAAGTAGAATTCAGAGAAATGTCAATTACTTTGTTTTTAGACTGGTTCTATGGTGTATGGATAAATCTGAACTTGATTTTAGTGTTCTGTTCATTCAATCCCCATTCTACTACACAGAGTATTCATTTATTCACTTAGTTTCAAAGATGTATTTCATCAGATAGCCCATAACTTTGGGGTGAGAGGTAGTTTTTTTTAAGCCACTATTAAAATGTTCAAGTGTGCATATTTGGAAAGGAAAACTGCTGTAGACTTACACTTAAGTACATTCTTTAAAACTAATCATTTGTTGAGTGCAACAGTCAAAAATAAAGTACTCAACCATCTGTTAAGTGGAAACAATCCATTAAAGTTGTGTTTATTCTGACCTTTTGATACGTAATGGACCCTTTACGAGTCTAAGTAAGAGAATGTTTTTAGAGTGTTTACTTTGCATAAACTTCATATTCTTGCGAAATTTTTCAGCTATGCTTTAGGGAACAACATGGTCATGAACCAAAGCCTCTTACATTATGCAAGCTTTGTTTCTACTGACAGTTGATGCTTAGCCATACTTATGTCATTTTCCCCCGATTGTCAAATAGTAAGAAGTCAGAATTTTTACAAGTTCCAAGATTCTCTGAAAGAATTTAGAAAAAGAAACTCAACAGTTTGTGAGATATTCTAGGAGGTAGGGGGAACAAAATGAAGGGTAAGTTTACCTATTATCAAACAAATCAGCATTCCATTCTTCCCATCCAATTAAGATAATTTTCCTCCAAAAACGGGTGGAGGTGCCTCGGCGGCTCAGTTGGTTTAGCATCCGACTCTTGATTTCAGCTCAGGTCATGATCTCAGGGTCGTGAGATCGAGCCCCGCGTCGGGCTCCGCACTGGGCTTGGGGCCTGCTTAAGATTCTCTCTCTCCCTCTCCCTCTGCCCCTCCCCTTCCTGGTGCCTTCTCTAAAAAAAAAAAAAAGGTTTTTTTAAAGATTTTATTTATTTATTTAATTGACAGAGAGAGAGAGAGAGAGACAGCGAGAGGGGGAACACAAGCGGGGGGGGGGGGGGAGTAGGAGAGGGAGAAGCAGGTTTCCCGCCGAGCAGGGAGCCCGATGCGGGGCTCCATCCCAGGACCCTGGATTTATGACCTGAGCCGAAGACAGTCGCTTAACGAACTGAGCCATCCAGGCGCCCCTAAAAATTTTTTTAAAAAAAGATAATTTCCTACCATGGATATATTCATTGCATATGTAATTTTATTATACTACCTCTGTTCACAATCAGAGAATAGATTGCAAAGGTAAATGTGACAACTGAATGAATACATCAACATGCACGAGGAATGTGCAACACAGAACCAAAAGGAATGTAGTTGGACTTACAGCCTTTTAATATGTTTTCCTAAGTTTGTGATTACTGCTCTTCAATGCAACATTTCTTACATTTGACAATAATACGGTAGTGATAGAAAAGATAACTTACCTACTGGGCAAAAGAGATTTTACAAGATGGAGAGGGAAGAATTATCTCTTTCATGGGGACTACAGACTAACTTTCAAAGATCTTTTGTGCTAGATACGCTCCATTTGCGACACCAGAGATGCCGCCCTCCCTCCTTCCTTTCCTACCGTGCTCTGGGTCTCAAGACGCTGACCTCCATGTCTGCATCTGTAGGTCCTCTTGCCTTCTCCACCCCCTGCCCCCAACTCCTTGCCGCCACTCCTCCAACTGGTCCAGCAGCTCTCGTCTCCCCTTTCCCTCAGGGTTCCTGAAACTGCTCGAGCCCCTAGCCTCTTTGGCCCAAGGGTGGCAACAGCTCCCCACTTTTGCTAGCACTGGGTACTTCACCAGCCCTTCCTCCTTCGGAGCGGGGCACAGTGGCGGATGCCCTCCTACCTGCTTGGAAACGTAGGAGGTGCTGGTGTTCATACAGACGAGGCTCTCTTCATTGCAGCAGCCACCGCACCGGAACACGTTCACACAGGGCGGCTTGAAGAAGGTGTCGGTGCTCCTCCCCAGCTCGCTGGCCACCTCCACGCACGTCTCTCGGGGGCTGCACTGGGTCCGCTGCCATTCCTCATCTATCACTGCAGAGAGGAAGCTCATGGGGGCCGGCCCCGGAAATGGCCCTGACAGGCCAGCACGCGCCAGGGTGGTGCTGAACACGGTCATGTTCACATGTCCAGTGGCGGTTATCTTACGAGACGGATAACTTGTCAATCCCTTAGCCAAAGATTGTTTTCAGAAAAATTAAACCCCAAATCTGTGCCCCTTCCCATGTATACAGTACCTTCTCTGGTAAAGAACACCATCTCCCTATAAAACAACATTGGGTACATCTGGATGAGCTGGATAATAAGGGGGTAAATGGAAGCATGTAAAGAAATAACATGTAAGTGTCATTTGTTAAGCAGTTTAAGGACACAGCTGGATAGCCTTTCTTCTACCTGAAGTCAGGTGTGGGTGGGTCTTCACACCGTCAAGAAACACATTTCTGTTGGTTGCTTAAGTAACTACGGTAGGATTCAAAGCAAGCAAATTACATGAATGGAAATTTCAGTGGAACTAATCTTTCCTCGAGCGAGGGTTTTCTCGTGTGCGAGTGCCCAATACCGATGTTTAAGTAAAATAATGAAATAGGCCAGTTTTATTCGATGGCAGGAGCAATATTCTGGCCGTTCTGGCTAATTTGAGGGAAACAAGAAAAAGAGACAAGCCTCTGGGAATAAAAAGATTACCTACTTTCGCGTAAAACAGTACTTGCTTTTCTCTCATAGTTCATTTTTTTATTTTTTTTATTCTTATGTTAATCCCCATACATTACATCATTAGTTTTAGATGTAGTGTTCCATGATTCATTGTTTGTGCATAACACCCAGTGCTCCATGCAGAATGTGCCCTCCTCAATACCCATCACCAGGCTAACCCATCCTCCCACCTCCCTCCCCTCTAGACCCTTCAGTTTGTTCTTCAGAGTCCATCGTCTCTCATGGTTCATCTCCCCCTCCGATTTCCCTCCCTTCATTCTTCCCCTCCTGCTATCTTCTTCTTCTTTTTTTTCTTAACATATATTGCATTATTTGTTTCAGAGGTACAGATCTGAGATTCAACAGTCTTGCACAATTCACAGTGCTTACCAGAGCACGTACCCTCCCCAGTGTCTATCACCCAGTCACCCCATCCCTCCCACCCCACCCCCCACTCCAGCATAGTTTATTTTTTTTGTTTGTTTGTTTGTTTGTTTTAAAGATTTTATTTATTTATTTGAGAGAGAGAATGAGAGAGAGAGAGAGCACATGAGAGGGGGGAGGGTCAGAGGGAGAAGCAGACTCCCCACCGAGCAGGGAGCCCGATGCGGGACTCGATTCCGGGACTCCAGGATCATGACCTGAGCTGAAGGCAGTTGCTCAACCAACTGAGCCACCCAGGCGCCCGCATAGTTTATTTTTAAAAATTAGATGCTGACACTTCGATACTCAAAGTTGTAGAGCCTTTTCTACAGATGTTTTGGGAAATGATTCAATTTTATGATAAAGACAATTTTAAAGGTTTTCTTTTAGCCTGTCATGCAACTGAAGAGTGTATTATATGTTGGGAGGGGTGGTGAAAACATGCTGTGGTAGGAAGCTTCTAAACTGATTCCCAATGATGCCCACCTCTTGGTGTTCACACCCTTGCACAATCCCCTCCTCTGTATGGGCTGGGCCTAGTGACTTGATTCTTATGAAGAGAATACAGAAAAAGTGACGGGATGTCACTTCCATGATTAGGTTAAAAAAGACTGTGACTTCTGTCTTGCTAGCAGTCTCTATCTCTTGCTGGCTCGCTCTTTCTTGTAGGCTTTGATGAAGCAAGCCGCAATGTTGGAAAGGTCCACATGGCAAGGAACTGAGAGCGGACTCTGGCCAACAGCCTGTGAGGAACTGGGGCCCTCTGTTCAACAGCCTGCGAGGAACTGAGTTCTGCCAACAACCTCCGAGTCAACTGGGAAGCACATCCTGCCCGGATTAAACCTTGAGAAGCTGCCTGCAGCCCAAGATGACATTATTCTGAGTTCCCACAGATGTGAACCTGTTTCCACTAGAAAGGACAAAGAGAACTTCTGCTCAACGTATACAGATACGGTATTATTGTTGGAGATCTGACCCAAGTGTCTAAATTATTCCCTTAAAACACCTTTCCATATCTTTATTCCTCCCCCCCCCCACCATCTTAATATTCCTCAGAAGTTGCTCCTTCAGTCACTGAAAACCCAAAAGACAAGATGTTTGGCCACCCGAGAAACACTGCATACGCTACACAATTTGCCTTAAATTTGTTTTTTCATCATAAAATCTTCTAACACAAGAGACCCTTTTAAATTTCCAATTATGAATATTTATATAAAGAGCCTAAAGACTGTAACCATGAGAGATAAATTACCCAATTAGGCATTAATATGAGTACTATTTAATTCACTGTTATTAATCACGAATCCTGGGAAAAACAAGTAGTCAACTTATGAAAACATTCTTTAAAATTCTACTTAAATGTTCCTTTCCATTTGCTTTTTTGTAAAACTAAGTTTTGAAAGTCAGAGTGGTAAGATTTTAACCAAAATTGTGTGGAATTATGACTAATGCCACTGCTTAAAAGCTTCATAACTCTGCTATCCTTTCCTACTGCCCAGCAGGACTGCTCTGCCTCAGGGAATCACCCCAAAATCCATGAGGGAGAGTTGATAACAAATTACAATTGGTGTAGCACATCGATTTGATTATTTACCGCTTCGAACTTAGTAAATCTCTTCAGATGATCCCCCGTGAAATAAGAGACATTTTAGAGTTGGCAAAATGCCATATTTTTATGTTTTTTAAAAAATATTTTTGGGTGCCTGGGTGGCTCAGTCAGTTAAGCGTCTGCCTTTGGCTCAAGGTCATGATCCCAGGGTTCTGGGATCAAGCCCCACATCCTAGAGGGGCTCCCTGCTCAGCAGGGAGCCTGCTTCTCCCTCTCCCTCTGCTCCTCCCCCCAACTCATGTACGCGCACATGTGCTCTCTCTCTCAAATAAATAAAATCTTTAAAAATATACTTTTATCTTTTTTTATGGTTTCCTCCTTAGAGAATGTCAATGTCGCTGACTTTTTTTTTTTTTTTTTTTAATTGCCTAGTCTTGGTTGTATGGTAAATGCTTGTCTCTCTCCATTCTCACAGAGTATCTCCAGGCTCACCTCACACTTGCAGACAGGGAATCTGGTTAAGGCCTTGGATCTCGAGGTGAGGTCTGACCCCTTTATTTCCATGAAGTCCATGCCAATTCACGACATAGAAACAACTAGAGCTTAATCATATGTTAATCAAGTCTCAAATGCTAGATCAACAATGCCTCAGTGGCTTCTTGTGTTGTGTTGCTATTTCATCCAAAAAGTTAGATGCCTAATCAGAGGCCACAGAACTATCCTTGGCAAGCTTCATTCAGGTATGGCACAGTACATATAGGACAATGGTTTTCTTATAAAGAACCTCCATACCGGGGCACCTGAGTGGCTCAGATGGTTGGGCGTCTGCCTTCGGCTCAGGTCATGATCCCAGGGTCCTGGGATCGAGTCCCACATCAGGCTCCCTGCTCCTTGGGAGCCTGCTTCTCCCTCTGCCTCTCTCTCTCTCTCTCTCTGTCTCTCATGAATAAATAAATAAAATCTTAAAAAAAAAAAAAAGAACCTCCATATCTTACTAGGGAACAATCATCCCCCTTATTTCAAATTAGGTTATTTCCTGTCTGGAGTTTGGATTCTTTCGTCTAGAGGATTTCCCACCTCCATCACCTAGTAATCTCCATATGCAATATTACAACTCAGCTTCCGACTTCTACTTTTCATTTTTACTACAAAAAAAATCACCGAATTTTGAAGAAATAAAAAAGCCCTGCCTAATCCACTGGTTTTTATTCATGTAGGTATGGCAGTAGAATGCTCCTTGCTGATGAAGACCTAGGTTGTTTTATGTTTTTAAGTAAGCCCAGTGATTTTTTTTTTTCTATTAAGAATGGTCTTTCTGGGTTTGTTTTGCACTCACGTCTCTGAGTTCAATATATTTCTGAATTCTGAAGTGTTCTTTTGTGTCAGTTTTAGATCTCAAAATCATATTGAATATATTTCTCTATAGAGTAAACACAGGAAACCAGGATTCTTTGCTAACACCAAAGCTATGAAATCAAAGACACCCTTTTCTTCTCCTGCACACGTGCCTACCCTACTGAAACCTTTGGAAGAAACTGGTACATGTATTGGTAGCTGATAAAGAGCAAGAATTGGCTTACATGCATGCACACGTCCGCACTTACATGCGCGCACACACACCTACCTTTTAGGGTTTCAATGTCATAGAAAGTTGCCGCAAACCTGGTGGCCCGATGGGATGCTGAGCGAGAGTCTGTGCTGGTCACACTTTTGAGCTTCAGTCGGCATCTCCACAGCTTCCAGTCCTCGAAGTGTGTGATTCGCAGCAGTTCCTCTAAACCAGAAGCTGCCCTAATCTGCTGTTCGGACCGTTCTAATGTTGACCGAGATGTCCGCTTTAAAAACAAAAAAAACAAAAACACTGGTTTCAAAGCCAGTTACTGAAGTTTTAGTTTGTCTTGATAACCCTCATTGCTGACACTTAAAGATGTAAATAGAGCTGAAAAGAAAGTAGAGAAATTATTCAAATGTACACCAGTGTCTAGGAAAAATACTAGTATTTTTTTTTATTTTTTTATTGTTATGTTAATCCCCACACATTACATCATTAGTTTTAGATGTAGGGTTCCATGATTCATTGTTTGTGCATAACACCCAGTGCTCCATGCAGAACGTGCCCTCCTCAATACCCATCACCAGGCTAACCCATCCTCCCACCCCCCTCCCCTCTAGACCCCTCAGTTTGTTTTTCAGAATCCATCGTCTCTCATGGTTCGTCTCCCCCTCCAATTTCCCCTGCTTCATTCTTCCCCTCCCGCTACCTTCTTCTTCTTCTTTTTTTTTTTCTTAACATATATTGCATTATTTGTTTCAGAGGTACAGATCTGAGATTCAACAGTCTTGCACAATTCACAGCGCTTACCAGAGCACATACCCTCCCCAGTGTCTATCACCCAGTCACCCCATCCCTCCCACCCACCCCCACTCCAGCAACCCTCAGTTTGTTTCCTGAGATTAAGAATTCCTCATATCAGTGAGGTCATATGATACATGTCTTTCTCTGTTTGACTTATTTCACTCAGATAATACCCTCCAGTTCCATCCACGTCGTTGCAAGTGGCAAGATCTTATTCCTTTTGATAGCTGCATAGGAAAAATACTAGTATTTTTGATTCACATTCTGCTCATTTATGATTGAATCAAAGGAATTATTCCCTTGGGTTCTCAGGACATTTAAAAACAATATCGTGGGGCGCCTGGGTGGCTCAGTTGGTTAAGCGACTGCCTTCGGCTCAGATCATGATCCTGGAGTCCCAGGATCGAGTCCTGCATCGGGCTCCCTGCTCGGCAGGGAATCTGCTTCTCCCTCTGACCCTCCTCCCTCTCATGCTCTCTGTCTCTCATTCTCTCTCTCAAATAAATAAATAAAATCTTTAAAAAAATAAAAAATAAAAATTAAAAAAATAAAAACAATATCGTAGTGGGTTGAATGGTGGACTTCAAAATGATATGTCCATGTACTAACCCCCAGGACCTGGGGGTGTGATTTTATTTGGGCAAAGGATCTTTGCAGATGTAATAAAGTTAATGATCATGAGATGAGACCACCTTGGATTATCTAGGTAGACCCTAAATACACAGGCAAAATGTCCTTATAAGAGACAGAGAGGGGAAGACATGGGCACAGAGGAAGTGTTGTGAAGACGGAGGCAGAAGTTAAAGGAATGCAGCCAGAAGCCAGAAATGGCCTGGAGCCCCCAGAAGCTGGATGAGGTAAGGAAGGATTCTCTCCAAGAGTCTTTGGAAGGAGCACAGCCCTGCCAACACCTTGATTTCACAATTCTGGATTCCAGAACTCTGAGAGAATACATTTCTATTGTTTTAAGCCACCCACTTTATAGTAATTTGGTACAGGAGCCACAGGAAACTAATACAAATTTCAAAATCATACTATTTTATGACAGGAGCCAATGACAGGGACGCCTGGGTGGCTCAGTCGTTAAGCGTCTGCCTTCGGCTCAGGTCATGATCCCAGGGTCCTGGGATCGAGCCCCGCATCAGGCTCCCTGCTCGGCGGGGAGCCTGCTTCTCCCTCTCCCACTCCCCCTGCTGGTGTTCCCTCTCTCGCTATCTCTTTCTCTGTCAAATAAATAAATAAAATCTTAAAAAAAAAAAAAGGAGCCAATGACAATGGCTTTCGTTCCTGTGATCTGAGAAACTGACCCACAAAGTCCTGGGGACCCTGCCTGCAGTCACACAAGAAGGAAGGTTTTAAGACCCTGAGCCTTTTTTGAAAAACTTGTTTACTATTTCAAAGACATCTTTTTTTTTCTGATAAAATACACTTCTAAAGTTTATGTTGAAAATTTGCTTTCTACACAGTTGCATGAACTGTATTGGCTGACAACAATGCATGGATTTTTGAGACTGCCAATACAATATTTTCTTCTTTTTAAAAAAATTTTTTTTTTTTTAAGATTTTCTCCATTTATTTGAGAGAGAGCATGCAAGAGTGGGGGGGGGGGGCGGGTGGCGAGCAAAGGGAGAGAGAGAACCACACTCGCTGCTGAGCAGGTAGCTCGATGCGGGGCCCGATCTCAGGACCCCAGGATCATGACCTGAGCTGAAGGCAGACGCTCAACCTACTGAGCCACCCAAGCGCCCTGCCAATACAGTATTTTCAGTATGGTGGCTAAATTGTTTAAAATTAGGGGCTTGGTTATATCAACAATGATACATACATACAATGAAATAGCACGTGGTCATAAAAACCAGTGATGTAGATGTATACTGGGACAGAATGAATCGAGCTCCTGCCTGGAACGTGCTGGAGAAATGATACAGTGGTCTGTCCCCATTGTTAGGCACCCGGATTTTCTCCTGCCGAGCCTGTGGTTTCTGGATCTTTTCCTGGGCAGCTGGGATATGCAGGCTGAGGGGACTTTTAGAGCTGGATGAGGAGGGGACCGAGGGACCAGGGCAGCTGCAGGATGGTACTGAGGAAGGTGGACAGAGAGGTGGAGATCAGCTGCCTGCTGCAGGGGGAGGAACAGCAGGGAAAGAGAGGTGAGCAAATGGGGCCTTCAGGAAGCTTTATGTTGAGTGGTGTGATGTACACCCCCTTCCACCGCCCCTGAGAAACTTTAGTTAAAACCTGCATCGTTCATCAGTATTTTAGGAGTAGGATTTTTTGTTTTTAGATACAATGATGGGTACTGAGTGTTGTCTAAAAGTGGGTGCCCAGAGGAGCAAGTGTGGTCCAAGTTTTGTACGATTCAGTTATGATGCCTTTTTAATTTATGTGTGTATGATGTACATGATATATGTATGCATATATAAGCAATTAACCATCATTAATCATATATGTAAAATTATATATACAAAATATCTGGAGGGATGTACATGAAAATATAAACAATGGTTCCTACTCTAGATCAGGGGCTGTCGAACTACAGCCCCCTGGCCCAATTCAGCCTGCCACCTGCCTGTTTCATGAGTAAAGTTTTATCGGCACACACCAAGCACATTCATTTACATATTGTCTGTAATGGCAGGGTTGAAAAGTTGTAACAGAGACTTTCTCAGCAGTTTGAACCTTGAGGCCATTTCAAATTTCAATTCTCTATCTTTTCAGGCATTATATTTTTCATTATTCCATGTATTATATTGTCTCAATTCTATTTTTGAAATACTTATCAGACATATATTGGAGGCTTTTAATGATCTTACATGTCTCTTAAATGTGCTTTCATATTTATCTGTTTTGTTCTCCCTTCACCTCTCTTCAATGTGTTAAATTAATTGATTCATCTTCCCAATCACCAATTTTCCAATTGTGTGAGCCTAGAGTTTATTTTGGTAAGTTTTTCATTTCAATCACCATATTTCTTTCTTTTTTTTTTTTTAAGATTTTATTTATTTATTTGACAGAGAGAGAATGAGAGAGAAAGCACATGAGAGGGGGGAGGGTCAGAGGGAGAAGCAGACTCCCTGCCGGGCAGGGAGCCCGATGCGGGACTCGATCCAGGGACTCCAGGATCATGACCTGAGCTGAAGGCAGTTGCTTATCCAACTGAGCCACCCAGGCACCCTCAATCACCGTATTTCTAATTTCAAATATTTCCCCTTCCTTCTCCTTCCTTTTTGTTTCATTTCTGTATGTTTCTCCTAATTTGTCATTTTATCTTATATTATTCCTTTATCACTTTGAGGGTCCCAAATATACTTATTTCTTCAAATTCTATTTTAACTTAATATATATGACTTATATCCTGATGATAAATGTTATTGGCGGTCTCTTAGTAATAATTACCCGTATGTGCTTTGGAATTTTGTTTAGTAGTTTCACCTTCATTGGGGGGTTTGTCTTTCTTTCTCTCTATTCTTTCTTCATTGAGAAGTTCTGTGGTTGCACCCCCTGACTCCCAGGGCCCTGAATCCAGAAACTTGTTGAGTATTTATGACTCGGATCAGCTTAGTTCGAGTCCTGGTTGCCAGGAAGTATCTGCTTGCTCCTTTGCCCCTAGTTAAACAGTGTCAGAGAAGACACGCTCCAGGCAGCAATGAGCGGTAACTCTTCCTTCGGCTTCCAGGGAGCTGAGGGAACGCACTCACAGAGCACACTGCCCACTGAGGTTGAATTCTCGGGGGCCTCCACCTTCCAGACCCACTTCTGCAGCTTCAGTTTCATGTTTTTTGAAAGTTTATTTGTATTGAGATATAACGGACATACAACTTGGTATAAGTTTAGGGTGTACAACGTGTTGATCTTTTCAGCTTCTTGGTTTTGGTACCATTCCTGCCAATGTTTGCCATCTGCAGATGTTTACCAGCATTGGATCAATTTTTTTTAAAGACTTTATTTATTTACTTGAGAGAGAGTGACAGAGATAGCGAGAGAGAGCATGAACGGGGAGGAGAGGGAGGAGCAGGCTTCCCGCTGAGCAGGGAGCCCGACGTGGGGCTTGATCCCAGGACTCTGGGATCATGACCTGAGCTGAAGGCGGACGTTTAACTGACTGAGCCACCCAGGCGCCCCTTGATCGATTTTCTATTTTATTACCTATCACGGCTATGGACTATAAAAGATCTCAAAACATGAATTGAGAAGGTCATCTTGCTTGGAAGTTCAGATATGAATGTATGTGTGTTTAATAAAAGCGGGGGAGTCTTGAACATATTTCTAAGCCGAGGGAAAGCGCCACCAGAGAGGAAGACACTGAACACATATGCAGGAGAGAGAAAGCAGAGGGGTTGGTTTGACCTAAGTTCCAGAGATAAATGGATTCATGGATGAGAGGATCACCTTCCAAAATAGGAGCCTCGCAGAGAATGACATGGGTTTGTAGACAGCAAGGACGCTTGTGACCTATGATTTCTCACTTCTCTGTGAAGT